CGAGCGAGAATTAGACCTAGGTGATTTTGCGATGTTGTTATATTAACCATAGCTCTATTTCCGGCCCCCCCCCCCCGTTTTAAGACCATATTGGCATTGAAGAGAAAAATCATGCACGGACATCCTTCAACCCGGACCAAAATCAATCATGTTTGCTCAGGGACTCTGATAGACTCTTATTAATTAATTAAACTGAAACTGATTATACATATATACAGTATACATGAGTCCCTTGGTCTGATCGACATAACCTCTTCAGACATCCACAGTAATAGAGGAGCAATCATCATGTTAATAACATTATTTTACTTTGCTTCCGCCGCTTCTATGTTTATATTCAGTACTTTCTTTGTCGATACTCTTGACGAATGCATGGTTCGAGCTCAATCCAGATCGTTTTGCTTCCTCGTAAGAATGGATGCATCTGCAATTCTGTTTACCTTCATCATGCCCACTGAACGTCTCATAGCGTGCACTTATAGATATTAGCATTGATAACTACTGTAGTTATCTATGTTATTCTACTTTATCATGGCTACATGAATTTTGTATTCCATTTGTCGACAATACAGTACATCCTCTAGAACGAATACCATCCTTTAATCATGCCTGCTGTCCATCTCATCGCGATAATCTTGAGAAATGTGCTGTAGCACAGCACTAATCATGATTGTAGTTTATGATCTTACTTTATGCTTGCTACTACGGTACGCCCATTTAGTAGCATTTGTCGATGCTGTTGACAAATGCAAGAGCTGAGCAGATTCTAGATGGCTTTTCGCCTGTGTAGACCTGTCAGCATGCATCCACCAGCGACCCCTTTTTCAATATGGCTTAAGAAGCTGTAGAATACCACTCTTGACTAGATATTTTAATTGATTTCCATTGTGTAATGTGTATGGTAGTGTCACTAGGAATATTCACGAAGATTGTTGTTCATTATCATGACAGACGCCATAGTGAGCATTATTTGCAAAAATCAACATCGCATCCATTCTCGATAACCCCTCACACGCCATCATCGATTGCAAATGCATGCAATGATACTGCTGTAGACGAGGTAATCATTTACAAATTTAAGGACAGTAACGTTGGTGGTCCCTATGCAATAGAATTTACTGTATTATCATGATCGACGCCATGATGAGCATTATTTGCAAAAATTAACATCGCATACATTCTCGACAACCCCTCACACGCCATCATCGATTGCAAATGCATGCAGTGATACCGCTGGGACGAGGCCATCATTGATGAATTTAAGGACAGTAATGTTGT